TTGGTCTAGGGGTATGATTCTCGCTTTGGGTGCGAGAGGTCCCGGGTTCAAGTCCTGGGTTCAAATCCCGGGCGAACCCATCTTTAAATATGGTTCAACACCTAAATTTTCCACTCTTTTTGCATCTGTAGTTTTCTTTCCACTTTGCACACCAAATAAATCCCAGGTTCCATGGCTCGTTGGTCTAGGGGTATGATTCTTTCTTAGGGTGCGAGAGGTCCCGGGTTCAAATCCCGGATGAGCCCAGCTTTCCTCATGGTTCAACAAATACATTTTCCACCCTTGTTGCATCTGTAGTTTTGTTTCCACTTGCACACCAAATAAAACCCAGGTTCCATGGCTCGTTGGTCTAGGGGTATGATTCTCGCTTTGGGTGCGAGAGGTCCCGGGTTCAAATCCCGGTTGAGCCCAGCTTTCCTCATGGTTCAACAAATACATTTTCCACCCTTGTTGCATCTGTGGTTTTGTTTCCACTTTGCACACCAAATAAAACCCAGGTTCCATGGCTCGTTGGTCTAGGGGTATGATTCTCGCTTTGGGTGTGAGAGGTCCCGGGTTCAAATCCCGGATGAGCCCAGCTTTAATTTTGGTTCAACACCTATATTTTCCATGTGTTTTGCATCAGTAGTTTTGTTTCCACATTGCACATCAAAAAAAAACCCATGTTCCATGGCTCGTTGGTCTAGGGGTATGATTCTTGCTTTGGGTGCGAGAGGTCCCGGGTTCAAATCCTGGACGAGCCCAGCTTTCATTATGGTTCAACAACTAAATTTTCCACTCTTGTTGCATCAGTAGTTTTGTTTCCACATTGCACACCAAACAAAACCTCATGTTCCATGGCTCGTTGGTCTAGGGGTATGATTCTCGCTTTGAATGCGAGAGGTCCCAGGTTCAAATCCTGGAAGAACCCAGCTTTAACTATGGTTTAACACCTAAATTTTCCATTCATTTTGCATCTGTAGTTTTGTTTCCACTTTGGCACATCAAATAAAACCATACACCATGGCTCGTTGGTCTAGGAATATGATTCTCGCTTTGAGTGCGAGAGGTCCCGGGTTCAAGTCCTGGGTTCAAATCCCGGGCGAGCCCATCTTTAAATATGGTTTAACACCTAAATTTTCCACTCTTTTTGCATCTGTAGTTTTCTTTCCACTTTGCACACCAAATAAAACCCAGGTTCCATGGCTCGTTGGTCTAGGGGTATGATTCTCGCTTTCAGTTCGAGAGGTCCCGGGTTCAAATCCAGGACGAGCCCAGCTTTAATTATGGTTCAACACCTAAATTTTCCACCCTTGTTGCATCTGTAGTTTTGTTTCCACTTTGCACACCAAATAAAATCCAGGTTCCATGGCTCGTTGGTCTAGGGGTATGATTCTCGCTTTGGGTGCGAGAGGTCCCGGGTTCAAATCCCGGATGAGCCCAGCTTTCCTCATGGTTCAACAAATACATTTTCCACCCTTGTTGCATCTGTAGTTTTGTTTCCACTTTGCACACCAAATAAAACCCAGGTTCCATGGCTCGTTGTTCTAGGGTATGATTCTCGCTTTGGGTGCGAGAGGTCCCGGGTTCAAATCCTGGACGAGCCCAGCTTTAATTTTGGTTCAACACCTATATTTTCCATGTGTTTTGCATCAATAGTTTTGTTTCCACATTGCACACCAAAAGAAAACTCATGTTCAATGGCTCGTTGGTCTAGGGGAATGATTCTTCCTTCGTGTGCAAGAGGTCCCGGGTTCAAATCCCGGACGAGCCCAGCTTTCATTATGGTTCAACAACTAAATTTTCCACTCTTGTTGCATTTGTAGTTTTCTTTCCACTTTGCACAACAAATAAAACCCAGGTTCCATGGCTCGTTGGTCTAGGGGTATGATTCTCGCTTTGGGTGCGAGAGGTCCCGGGTTCAAATCCTAGACGAGCCCAGCTTTAATTATGGTTCAACACCTAAATTTTCCACCCTTGTTGCATCTGTAGTTTTTTTGCACTTTGCACAGCAAATAAAACCAATACAACATGGCTCGTTGGTCTAGGGGAATGATTCTCGCTTACGGTTTGAGAGGTCGCGGGTTCAAATCCAGGACGAGCCCAGCTTTAATTATGGTTCAACACCTAAATTTTTCACCCTTATTGCATCTGTAGATTTGTTTCCACATTGCACACCAAAAGAATACCTATGTTCCATGGCTTGTTGGTCTAGGGGTATGATTCTCGCTTAGGGTGTGTGAGGTCCCGGGTTTAATTCCCGGACGAGCCCAGCTTGCATTATGGTTCAACAACTAAATTTTCCAACCTTGTTGCATATGTAGTTTTGTTTCCACTTTGAACACCAAATAAAACCAAGATTCCAAGGCTCGTTGGACTAGGGGTATGATTCTTGCTTAGGGTGCGAGAGGTCCCGGGTTCTAATCACGGATGAGCCCAGCTTTCCTCATGGTTCAACAAATACATTTTCCACCCTTGTTGCATCTGTAGTTTTGTTTCCACGTTGCACACCAAATAAAACCCAGGTTCCATGGCTCGTTGCTCTAGGGGTATGATTCTCGCTTTGGGTGCGAGAGGTCCTGGTTTCAAATCCCGGACGAGCCCAGCTTTAATTTTGGTTCAACACATATGTTTTCCATGTGTTTAGCATCAGTAGTTTTGTTTCCACATTACTCACCAAAAGAAAACCCATGTTCCATGGCTCGTTGGTCTAGGGGTATGACTCTTGCTTTCGGGTGCAAGAGGTCCCGGGTTCAAATCCCAGACAAACCCAGCTTTTATTATGGTTCAACAACTAAATTTTCCAACCTTGTTACATCTGTAGTTTTGTTTCCATTTTGGCACATCAAATAAATCCCATACACCATGGCTCGTTGGTCTAGGGATATGATTCTCGCTTTGAGTGCGAGAGGTCCCGGGTTCAAGTCCCGAGCTCAAATCCCGGGCGAGCCCATCTTTAAATATGGTTCAACACCTCAATTTTCCACTCTTTGTTGCAGCTGTAGTTTTCTTTCCACTTTGCACACCAAATAAAACTCATACACCATGGCTCGTTGGTCTAGGGGTATGATTCTCGCTTTGGGTGTGAGAGGTTCCGGGTTCAAATCCTGGACGAGCCCAGCTTTCATTATGGTTCAACAACTAAATGTTCCAACCTTGTTGCATCTGTAGTTTTGTTTCCACATTGCACACGAAAAGAAAACCCATGTTTCATGGCTCGTTGGTCTCGGGGTATGATTCTTGCTTCGGGTGCGAGAGGTACCGGGTTCAAATCCCGGTTGAGCCCATCTTTCACTATGCTTCAACAACTAAATTTTCCAACCTTGTTGCATCTGAAGTTTTGTTTCCACATTGAACATCAAAAGGAAACCAATATTCCATGGCTTGTTGGACTAGGGGTAGGATTCTCGCTTTGAATGCGAGAGGTCCCAGGTTCAAATCCTGGAAGAAACAAGCTTTAACTATGGTTTAACACCTAAATTTTCCACTCTTTTTGCATCTGTAGTTTTGTTTCCACTTTGGCACATCAAATAAAACACATACAACATGGCTCGTTGGTCTAGGGATATGATTCTCGCTTTGAGTGCGAGAGGTCCCGGGTTCAAGTCCTGTGTTCCAATCCCGGGTGAGCCCATCTTTAAATATGGTTTAACACCTAAATTTTCCACTCTTTTTGCATCTGTAGTTTTCTTTCCACTTTGCACACCAAATAAAACCCAGGTTCCATGGCTTGTTGGTCTAGGGGAATGATTCTTGCTTAGGGTGCGAGAGTGGTATGATTCTCGCTTAGGGTGCGAGAGGTCCCGGGTTCAAATCCCGGACGAGCCCAGCTTTCATAATGGTTCAACAACTAAATTTTCCAACATTGTTGCATCTGTAGTTTTGTTTCCATTTGGCACACCAAATAAAACAAAGGTTCAAAGGCTCGTTGGTCTAGGGGAATGATTCTCGCTTTGGGTGTGAGAGGTCTTTGGTTCAAATCCCGGACGAGCCCAGCTTTCATTATGGTTCAACACCTATATTTTCCATGTGTTTTGCATCTGTAGTTTTGTTTCCATTTGTCACACCAAATAAAACCCAGACACCATGGCTCGTTTGTCAAGGGTTATGGCTTCTTGCTTTTGGTGCGAGAGGTCCTGGGTTCAAATCCTGGATGAGCCCAGCTTTAATTAAGGTTCAACACCTAAATTTTCCACCATTGTTGCATCTGTAGTTTTCTTTCCACTTTGCCGACCAAACAAATCCAATGTTCGATGGATTGTTGGTCTAGGGGTATGCTTCTCGCTTAGGGTGCCAGAAGTCCCAGGTTTAAATCCTGGATGAGCCCAGCTTTAATTAAGGTTCAACACCTAAATTTTCCACCATTGTCGTATCTGTAGTTTTCTTTCCACTTTGCAGACCAAACAAATACAATGTTCCATGATTCTCGCTTAGGGTGCTAGAAGTCCTGGGTTCAAATCCTGGACGAGCCCAGCTTTAACTATGGTTAAATTTTCCACACCTGTTGCATCTGTAGTTTTGTTTCCACATTGCACACCAAACAAAACCCACACACCATGGCTAGTGGTATCATTCTTGCTTCGGGTGCGAGAAGTCCCGGGTTCAAATCCTGGAAATGTCCAGCTTTAATTATGGTTCAACACCTAAATTTTCCAACCTTGTTGCATCTCTAGTTTTGTTTCCACTTTGCACACCAAAAGAAAATCGCTGTTCCATAGCTCGTTGGTCTAAGGGTATGATTTTTGCTTCGGGTGCGAAAGGTCCTGGGTTCAAATCCCGGACGAGCCCAGCTTTCATAATGGTTCAACAACTAAATTTTCCAACATTGTTGCATCAGTAGTTTTGTTTCCATTTGGCACACCAAATAAAATCCAGACACCATGGCTCGTTTGTCAAGGGTTATGGCTTCTTGCTTCGGGTGCGAGAGGTCTCGGGTTCAAATCACGGATGAGCCCAGCTTTAACTATGGTTAAATTTTCCACACCTGTTACACTGTAGTTTTGGTTCCACATTGCACACCAAACAAAACCCAAGCACCATGGCAAGTAGTATGATTCT